CTTTTAATGTCTCTTGGTGTGACAGATCAAGGGATCGAACCACCAACCTCCTGCACTCCAGGCAGATGCCCTATGCACTAGACCACAGACATGGTCTCAACAGTAAGCATGGTAAGAGACTTGAAACACATTTCAATCAATTGTATAAACTTGTATTATTGTATTAAGTGAAAGGGAAAACATTCATAGGGGAAAACATACATGTGAACATTGTTATATAAATAATCTTCAAAAAAGGAGAATTAAATATGTCAAAGAAGATCAAAACCTGGGATTACAAATATGCAACTGAACATGCTGAAGGGTGTCGACCCATGAAGGAAATGTACAACATGTGAAAAATATAGACCAGTTAGTCATCAATGTCCAGTACATGGCCACCTCATGTGACCTTAACATGACAGTGGATTGTTGACACATGGCCCCAACGTGTGGCTGAAGAAGAAACAATGGTGTATTGGGCTTCAGATCCATCATGGCTTCTAAACCCTTCTTCCTCACATCCTCGGTCCCTTGGTTCCCACTCAACTGATGAAGGATGTTTCAGTGCCTGCCCTCCCCCTTCATTACCCACATTCATCTTTCATTAGATTACGCTTCTCACTCTTGACCCTCCCCTTCAATATGCTCAAACCCCCAAGTGCATACATCAACAGACAATTTTTCCCCTCAGTTATCAACTAGAAAGAACTCTGGGTGTTCATGTGGACCTCTGTCCCACTCTATTTCTCTTGTTCCTGACCTCTTCCCTACTATTACCTGACCTGAACACTCTTACTTTCCTGGCCCTTCCCTTCTCCACCCCAAATACTTGGACTTTCTCCTGGCCCTTCCCTTCTCCACCCCAAATACTTGGACTTTCTCCTGGCCCTTCTCTTCTCCATCCCCCCATCCTGACCCCCCCCCCCCCTCGCCTCCATCTCTACCTGCCACACCCACACCAAATACAGTTCAGGAAACAATGTAACATGACCTAACCAGTCTTCCAGGAGTGACAGGCTTTGTCTATTTTTTTACTGCCTGGCAAGAAGAGAGGTCATCTGGTGGAGCTTTGACAAGATGGCTCCACCGGACCTGTTGAACATCAGAAGATATTTATTCCATGAGATCAACAGTAAGTTTTCCCCATGTGGTGTACAGATTGGTCCCACAGCTGGGTCCTATTTCTGACTTCTAACAAGTTGAGCAGTTCCCTTGTCGAAATGATGGAATGCTAATTCAAGATAAAAACTCAAAACTTAATTTTCTTGAGAAAGCCATGTTGAAATCAAGAAAGAAAAATTAATATAGAGGACAAAATGTATTCCATTATACTTTCATATCATTCATGTCCCTCACAAGTTTTCAGAATGCCTAAATGTTTCAAATAATTTGTAAAACAAAACCTATATTGCCAGAAGCTCAAGCACTACCAACTGAAGATCACAGAGTGCACTGCCCATCTGTGGCAGCAGGACTCTGGGAGCTCTTGCAACCAAGGGGATATTTGATAGCACCTGATTGGACTGTCAGCAGGTGCCCCCCTCCATGTTCTGTGGTTAACCTACATCCCCTGTGGGAATGAGAGATAAATGGTACCAGTAACCTGGTTGTTGACCCAGTGAGGAAGGATTCCTTCCCCTGCAGGTGTGGGAGGCGTGGTGAGTTTTGGTGTGTGTGTGTGAGGTGAGGTGAGGTGAGGCAGGTTTAATGTCTCGTCCAAGATTATTGCACTTACATAGAGACGTGCATGCGTGCGTGCGTGCGTGCGTGCATGTGTAGCTGCTTGTACTAGTCTGGACTGATGCCGATTTATAGTGCTAGCCACTGAGATATCATGCCGCAGTTTTAACATGGATATCTCACTCAGACATAGTATACGGACTCCGAGCCGACCAGTCCTTGTTTTAGCCCCTTAATGCCAAGCGCCAGACAGGGTAACAACAAGTACCATCTTTTAACGTCTTTTGGTATGACTCAGCTGGGAATCGAACCCCAGACCTTTCGCTCTCCGGGAGGACGCTCCACCTCTAGGTCCTGTGAGAGAGGAGGTAACAATATGATCCAGTAGTCTGATTGCTGGGGTATTCCCCCCTTCTCTCCAACATTTGTTCTGGGGTGCGTGTTGAGGGGGGAGATGGAGGGAGGGATTCCCTTCATGGACAGTTGTGTGGGGGGGGATTCCTTCCCCCTGCAGTACTGGCGGGGGCTGGGTTGGTGTCGGGGTATTATGTGGGTTTGTAACAATGTGACATACTGATAAAACAACACTCCTAAAACAAATCCTGATTCCTCCAAAAGAATGGTCAAGTTTTGTTGTCGGGACTATTTGACATGTTTCAACAAAGATCAACATAAGAGCCCAAATTGGATAAGTCTGTATCGGCCATTAATATCTGTGCACAAAGCACAATCAGATACCTTTATCTCCCATACCCTGATGAACATTGCCTATAACTTTAAAATGTGTAAATATCATACATATGGATAGGGTTCTATCACCTGTATTTCCATTTCCATCATGTTTTCATGCATTTATGTGTTATATATATATATATATATATATATATATATATATATATATATATATATATGTTCTCATCTCTACACCATATTAAATAATAAAAGCACTTTTTCCCAAGTCCCAAGTGGGCATTTTCATATAATAAAAATTCTTAATTCTTGATTCATGGTTGTTCCTCTTTTCCTATTTACAACTTCCACTGTGTGATGAACATGACCTAGATCTTATGATAATCATGATAATCAAACACTACAAATGGGCTAATCAACCCAAACAGACACTAAGCAACTAAGTTTCACTCCAGCACACAACCCAGGCCTAGCCTTCGATACCTACAACTTTACAACCCACTTAAAACATATACAAACAACAATGTGGTTTCTAATCTACTTTCTCCTTTCATACATGGAATATTTATCCTCTTATTTGAGTCAACACTGGGAACTAAATGTCACTGACCCCTTTTCTTATCACATCTGTGGCTAATCTCTTAAGTCAACTCTCTATTCATCCTGTTTACAGACTCTCGACAAGTCCCAGAAACTCATGAAATATGGATCCTAACACTCACAGACCCCAACTCTACCACAAGGAGACAGCTCCAACAGAACTTTGACCTGAATGGCACAAACCATCGAGAAGACAGAAAGTTTAATATCGCCTACTTGGTAAATACGGGTGGTCGGGTAGCCTAGTGGTAAAAGCTTTCGCTCATCATGCTGAAGATCCGGGTTCGATTCCCGACATGGGTACAATGTGTGCATGAAGCCCATTTCTGGTGAACAGCTCTTTTTTCGGATTCTTAGGCAGAACTTTGATTTTATGGCATTGATTAGCTGAGAATAAAAGGCTGGACCTATGGTTTGAGATGAAGCTCATCTGCAATTCAAGAGATTTAACAAATAACAAGATAACAAGTGTTTCAGGTGAGGTGAGGTGAGGTGATATGAAATGGGGTTTAATGTTGCAATCAAGATTAAGATACTAATATAGTGATGTGCATGCACAAGTATGTGTGTGGCTGCTAGTACTAGTCTGGACTAATGCCGGTTTTACAGTGCTAGCCCACTGAGATACGATGCCACAGTTTAACATGAATACTCCACTAAAACACAGTATACTGACTGAGGCAATCAGTCCTTATTTATCCCTTAATGCTGAGTGCCAGGCAGGGAAACAACAAGTATCTCTTTTTAATGTATTTTGGTATGACACGGCTAGGATCAAACCACCGACCATCCGCTCTCCGAGCAGACACTCTATCCACCAGACCATGGAGGCGGTCACAAAGTGTTCAAAATTACGAGAATAGTTGATTAGAAAGAAAAGCTGTGTGACCTGCCTAAAAGTGGGGATATGGTTACATAGATTGAAATAACAAAGAACACCTCAACTTGAAGAAGACAAAATGCTTTCCTTTTATCAATACAAAACAGTCAGTATCAATTTAAGTTTGTCCCCCAGATACTTTATTATCGTTTGTTCACTTCTGTTCGACACTGAAAACATTTAACTCATTACAGGTTTTAATAAGAACCCTCTTTGTAAATTTTCCAAGCACCCAAGGTGCTTATTACAGCAAATATAGAATACGAAATTTTGACTATTTCTGTGCACATATATTTGATGTTATGAAACAGCCCCTGATAAACAAAAACAGCCGCCAGAACAACATCAGGCATCTTAGACAACTCGCCCCAAAAGAGGCTGGGATTTAACCATATCGGCTTGAGAGAAGTATCAATAACCCACAAGTCTGAAAACATGACATAGCCTAAAGTTATGAAACTGAAATAAAGATTACTGGACTTTGGCTTCAGATAAGTGACTTCATTTACAGACTGTATGTGTGCTGGTACCACGTTACAGCTCTCACAGAGAACACAGCATTACAATAACACTGTCACCAAGACAACAGATGTACAGCATTACAACGGAGATACAGCATTACAAGAATACTGTCACCAAGACAACAGAGGTATGGCATCAGAAGAACACTGTCACTAAGACAACATAGATACAGCATTACAAGAACACTGTCACCAAGACAACGGAGGTACAGCATTACAAGAACAGTGTCACCAAGACAACGGAGATACAGAATTACAAGAACAGTCACCAAGACAACAGAGATACAGCATCACAAGAACACTGTCACCAAGACAACAGAGATACAGCATCACAAGAACACTGTCACCAAGACAACAGAGATACAGCATCACAAGAACACTGTCACCAAGACAACAGAGATACAGCATTACAACAACACTGTCACCAAGACAACAGAGATACAGCATCACAAGAACACTGTCACCAAGACAACAGAGATACAGCATCACAAGAACACTGTCACCAAGACAACAGAGATACGGCATTACAAGAACACTGTCACCAAGACAACAGAGATACAGCATTACAAGAACACTGTCACCAAGACAACAGAGATACAGCATCACAAGAACACTGTCACCAAGACAACATAGGAACATGTACATACCTGTAAAACTGGACTGTCTTCATATTCAAAAGCACTGGGCCTCCCTTCCAGAGTACTGAAGGCCACACTGCCCCCAGTGAGGGGAGATATATCACTGAATTCATCAGTACAGATTGCCTTGGCTTCATTGTTTATCTGAATAACTCCTCGTCGAGGTAATCCGTATGTCCTCTCACATGAAGCGCTATAAAATTGGAATGGGGTCCATTCATCGGTATCACTTTTCCTCTTGTATATGGCGAAACTCTCCGGCCTTGGGGAATGGAAGCGTATCCTCACATAGGTAATGTCGTATGTCTTTTCTGAAACATGAAGAATATAGCATTGAAGAAAATATATTATTCGCATCATCTTACATCAGACCAATTTAATATATAAGTGACTGAGTGATTATTGGGCAACGCCGCACCACCAATCCTGCAGCTGTGGTGGTGATCTAAGTAACAGACAGAAAAGTGCCAGTATGCAGCTGAGCCTTTGTTCTCGTAACAGTAGATTCATGTCCTGATCAAGTACTGGCACAAGTTCTCTATCTATCTTACAGTAGAGGCAAATAATAAAGTTCTAGGAACCATACACTGCAGATCACAGAAACTCCACAATTCACATTGGAAGGTGATTGCAAGATTACAGATACGGTTAGTGCAATCAAGTTTCACAAGGCACGAGAGTTTACACCTCTATCAACTGTATACTTTACAGTACTTTAACAGCATCTGACTAAAACAGTGACCACCCAATACACAAAAGTATTTACCTGTGCTCTAACCACATTTGATTGCAAAAATCTAGTCATATCTAATCAGAATTAAATGGCCCTAAATAGACACCAGTATTCTACAGTCACTGCAAAAAATGCTGTAAATATAACATATGAGGTGACTGACAAGCAATGAACTAAGGTGCTCTCACTGAAATGAGGGGGGGTGGCTACTATCTCTTGGAATCTCCACAGGTAGACAAGCATGGGTACAATGTATCTATTTCCCTGTCTGAGAGAGTGAGTATGGTTTTATGCCGCTTTTAGAAATATTCCAGCAATATCACGGTAGGGGACACCCGAAATGGGCTTCACACATTGTACCCATGTCGGGAATCAAACCCGGCTCCTCGGCGTGTCAAGCGAACGCTTTAACCACTAGGCTACCCGACCGCCCCTTTCCCTGTCTGAAGTACCCTTGGGTGAGACAAGTAAGGGTAAAGGGGCCTGCTCTGCCCCGAAATCCCCACGGTTAGGGTTCATGGTAGCTATGTTGCAATGGAATCTCCAAAAAGAGACAAGTATGGGGAATTGGGGACTGAGTTTCCCTGGAATCCCCAAGGAACTTTCAAATTGAAAAGGAGTCCAATGAGATGGGAGATTCCTGAGAAAAATCTAGACCTGTTGTATTTCAGGCTTCTGCATTAGAGAAAGCATTGGGGGGAGGGAAAATACTATGGTTCAGGGACTGTGAGACTGATTATCCCCAGGGAGAGAGGCATGGGTAGCCATTTTCCCCTGAAATCCTCATTGGGATACAAGCATGGGTACAAGGGCCTGGTCTACTATGGCATCCCAACAGAAAGACAGATTGGGTACATGGGGAGCCATTTTCCCCTGAAATCCTCATTGGGATACAAGCATGGGTACAAGGGACTGGTCTACTATGGAATCCCCACAGGGAGACAGGCATGGGTAAATGGGGAGCCATTTCCCCCTGAAATCCTCAATGGGTACAAGGGACTGGTCTAGTCTGGAATCCCCACAGGGAGACAGGCATGGGAACATGGGGAGCCATTTCCCCCTGAAATCCTCATTGGGATACAAGCATGGGTACAAGGGCCTGGTCTACTCTGGAATCCCCACAGGGAGACAGGCATGGGTAAATGGGGAGCCATTTCCCCCTGAAATCATCATGGGTACAAGGGACTGGTCTACTATGGAATCCCCACAGGGAGACAGGCATGGGTAAATGGGGAGCCATTTCCCCCTGAAATCATCATGGGTACAAGGGACTGGTCTACTATAGAATCCCCACAGGGAGACAGGCATGGGTAAATAGGGAGCCATTTCCCCTTGAAATCATCATGGGTACAAGGGACTGGTCTACTATGGAATCCCCACAGGGAGACAGGCATGGGTAAATAGGGAGCCATTTCCCCTTGAAATCATCATGGGTACAAGGGACTGGTCTACTATGGAATCCCCACAGGGAGACAGGCATGGGTAAATGGGGAGCCATTTCCCCTTGAAATCATCATGGGTACAAGGGACTGGTCTACTATGGAATCCCCACAGGGAGACAGGCATGGGTAAATAGGGAGCCATTTCCCCCTGAAATCATCATGGGTACAAGGGACTGGTCTACTATGGAATCCCCACAGGGAGACAGGCATGGGTAAATAGGGAGCCATTTCCCCCTGAAATCCTCATGGGTACAAGGGACTGGTCTACTATGGAATCCCCACAGGGAGACAGGCATGGGTAAATGGGGAGCCATTTCCCCCTGAAATCCTCATGGGTACAAGGGATTGGTCTACTATGGAATCCCCACAGGGAGACAGGCATGGGTAACAGGCAGCCATTCCTCCCCTGAAATCCTCATGGGTACAAGGGATTGGTCTAGTCTGGAATCCCCACAGGGAGACAGGCATGGGTACAAGGGATTGGTCTAGTCTGGAATCCCCACAGGGAGACAGGCATGAGTACAAGGGCCTGCTCCACTCAGGAATCCCCACAGGGAGACAAGCATGGGTACAAGGGCCTGCTCCACTCAGGAATCCCCACAGGGAGACAGGCATGGGTAAATGGGGAGCCATTTCCCCCTGAAATCCTCATGGGTACAAGGGATTGGTCTACTCTGGAATCCCCACAGGGAGACAGGCATGGGTAACAGGCAGCCATTCCTCCCCTGAAATCCTCATGGGTACAAGGGATTGGTCTACTCTGGAATCCCCACAGAAAGACAGGCATGGGTAAATAGGGAGCCATTTCCCCCTGAAATCATCATGGGTACAAGGGACTGGTCTACTATGGAATCCCCACAGGGAGACAGGCATGGGTAAATGGGGAGCCATTTCCCCCTGAAATCATCATGGGTACAAGGGCCTGGTCTACTCTGGAATCCCCACAGGGAGACAGGCATGGGTAAATGGGGAGCCATTTCCCCTTGAAATCATCATGGGTACAAGGGACTGGTCTACTATGGAATCCCCACAGGGAGACAGGCATGGGTACAAGGGCCTGCTCCACTCAGGAATCCCCACAGAGAGACAAGCATGGGTAAATGGGGAGCCATTTCCCCCTGAAATCCTAGTTGGTACAAGGGCCTGCTCTACTATGGAATCCCAAGGGGGTCAGAAGGCAAGACTGTGAAGCCAAGTACAGAAGTTGTAACAAAATGTATAGAGTTCCTGAGAGGCCAGAGTAATTCAGCTTGACATTCCAAATATACCATGTGAGTTTTTTCCTTTCAGGACAGTTTACAAACATGACAACCGGTGGCCAGCTGGCTGAGGAGGTTGATTTGAGTCAGCCTTGAGATGCTGACATGGGGGGGAACACACTGGCCACATTCCCGGGCATCAGCCCATCAACCTACTTACATCAAACACCCAATTATACTCTTCAGGGGTACAGGGCAATAAAGTCAGATCCAAAAGATATGAAAACTGTAGACAAAAAAATCCAATTCATGTTATTGCTAACTTGTTGGCTTGGTCGAAGTGACTGATTTATTTACAAGTACACATGAAGAGGAACAGGCTTAATTTGACATTATTGCATTCAATACAATGTTAAAGTACATCTATAATTAAGAAATTAACAACTTAAAAATACATGGAGCAAATGGTCGGGACTCAACCCCAAAAAGAACGGAAATCTGTACTTTACAAAGAAAGTGTTATCCCAAATATAACATGTTACATTTTACCTCTTTCTAAATGGCATTGAATGACCATGTTTGTTCTAAAAAAAATCATAATTTTGAATTAGATACATTTTTTCAACTTGCCTACCATCACCACTAATATTTGAATCTGAATCTGAATCTGAAGATGTAAATATGCTCCGAATGTTACATGTATGTTTATCATGAGTTTGTGAAAAAGACGACGACTTATTGTACATAAACACCCACAGGGGACAGTGTATATAAAGCATGAACATGACTAGTTATGACGAAAGTTATAAACATTGACATACACAATGTATTACAAATATTGCTATTATTAAGGTTTATGAGTTTATGTAAACTGGTGTATATGTCTACTGTGTTGCCTCTGTTACGTAATGGAATGTTTTTGCAATAAGGGAGGGGTTGGTAGTTGGGAGGGGGAAGAGAGCAACAGCACTTAAAGCCAGCTTTGCTGAGTCGTCAGTTATGCAGGTCATAAATCAGACTGGCTCACAGCTCATCTGTCAGAAGCTGCTTTCAAGGCTCCAGCAGTGAAACATTTGTGGTCTGTGTTTGGCTGCTAAAACTGTAAACAGGCCTGATTGGCCTAATTCACATCAGCACAACAACCAAAGAAACAATGGAGAGTTTATACTCCAGCAGTGTTAACTCTGAAATATGTCGATACATCTAGGGCTCAAATAGCTTATAAACTGACTCATGGGTGGATTTGATTCTCATTAAAACTCAGAGGCAAGTTGGAAAACATAGCAAGCATAAGAAACTCTCAAATGATCTGTCATGAATCAGAATCATAAACCATATCAGTTCAACCAATTCATGTGAGAAGAGAATATTGTTGGGTACATTCCACCTGATTACACTCCATACATTTTTAAATCCTGGGTGGTCTTAAGGGAGACAACCCATCTCCATAATATTGATACCCATTCACCTGTGCATGTGGCCGGGACATATCATCTTATATAGTTTATAGATTCTCCTGCCCACATCAAGCTGTCTCAGATTTATACCACAGATGACCGTTGTGCTGTGAAATACTAGCCATACCCGACTGTGCCTCAGTGTGACTTATCAGCAAGTGTCAGGTGTGAATTGCCCCCAGGAATGTAATGCTATTAGTATAAATCAATGGTCACTCAAGTCCTACAGCAGGTGAGGGCACATTCAGGTGTGCTCAAGGGTCTTGGACGATTTATCCAGGGCCCCAGATAATGTTTTAGCCACCGAGTATTTACTCACAAGTTATCATTCACGTTGGGTATTCATAGATTTCTTTGGGTATTGAATACATATTTGTTTGTTTGCTTGATGTTTAATGCCGCACTCAGCAATATTCCAGCTATATGATGGTGGTCTATAAATAATCGAATCTGGACCAGACAATCCAGTGATTGATATCA